CTATGGTTTTGGGCAACTCCACCTCTGTGGCTTTGCAGGATACAGTCTCCCTGGCAGCTGCTTTCACAGGCTGGCATTGAGTGTCTGTGACTTTTCCATGCACGTGATACAATCTGTCAGTGGATCTACCATTGTGGGGTCAGGAGGATGGTGGCCCTCTTCTCACAGCTCCACTAGGCAGTGCCCAACTAGGGACTGTGTGTGGGAGCGCCAGCCCCACAGTTTCGTTCTGTACCGACCTAGCAGAGGTTCTCCATGAGAGCTTGCCCCTGCAGCAGACTTTTGCCTGGGCATCCAGGCATTTGTATACATCTTCTAAAACCTAGGCAGAGGTTCCCAAACCTCAATTCTTGACTTCTGTGCATGTGTAGGGTCAACACCACGTGAAAGCTGCCAAGGCTTGGGACTTCTACCCTCTGAAGCTACAGCCTGAGCCTTACGTTGGTCCCTTTCAGCCATAGCTGGAACAGCTGGGACAGAGGGCACCAAGTCTCCAGGCTGCACACAGCATGAGGACCCTGGAACCAGCTCACAATACCACATTTTGCTCCTGGGCCTCTGGGCCTGTGATGGGAGGGACTGCCATGAAGGTCTCTGACATAGCCTGGACACATTTTCCCCATGCTCTTGGGGAATACCATTAGGCTCCTTGCTACTTATGCAAATTTCTGCAGCTGGCTTGAATTTCTCCTCAAAAAAAAACGGGTTTTTCTTTTCTACTGCATCGTCAAGCTGCACATTTTCTGAACTTTTATGCTGTTTTCCTTTTAAAATGGAATGCTTTTAACAGCACCCAAGTCACCTTTTGAATGCTTTGCTGCTTAGAAATTTCTTCCACCAGATACCCTATATCATCTTTCTCAAGTTCAAAGTTTCACAAATCTCTAGGGCAGGAGCAAAGTGCCTCTAGTGTCATTGCTCAAACATAGCAAGAGTCACCTTTGCTCCAGTTTCTGAAAAATTCCTCATCTCCACCTGAGACCACCTCAGTCTGGACTTTATTGTTCATATTACTATCAGCATTTTTGTCAAAGCCATTCAACAAGTCTCTAGGAGGTTTCAAACTTTCACACATTTTCCTGTCTTCTTCTAAGCCCTCCAAACTGTTCCAACTCTGCCTGTTACCCAATTTCAAAGTCACTTCTACATTTTGGGGTATCTTTTCAGTAATGCTCCACTCCCAGTACCAATTTACTGTATTAGTTCATTTTTACATTGCTGATAAAGACATCCAAAACTGGGAGCAAAAAATAAGTTTTAATTGGACTTCAGTTTCACATGGCTGGTGAGGCCCCAGAATCATGGTGGGAGGTGAAAGGCTCTTCTTACGTGATGATGGCAAGAGAAAATGAGGAAGAAGCAAAAGCGGAAACCCCTGATAAACCTATCAGAGCTCGTGAGACTTATTCACTATCATGAGAATAGCTCTGGAAAGATGGGCCCCTATGATTCAATTACCTCTCCCTGAGTCCCTCTCAAAACACGTGGCAATCCTCGGAAATACAATTCAAGTTGAGATTTGGGTGGGGCACAGCCAAACCATACCAGTATCCACACACTGAAAAAAAGGCCACTGCCTACACCTCAAACTTCATACAGAAATTCACTCAAAATTGATTGTGGAATGAAATGTAAAATGTGAAAACATAAAAATGTTAGAATTTTTTAAACAGGAGAAAATCTTAAGGGTCTCTGGATAGACAAAGAGTTAACATCAAAAGAATGATTTATGAAAGAATACATTTCTAAATTTGACCTTATTAAAATTAAAACATTTTCTCAGTTAAGACCCTGTTTACATTAAAACATCATGTTTCATGCTGTAAACTTTTGTCAACAAAGAAAAAATCAGTAAACTTAGCAAAAGATCAACATAATAGTAAATTGCTACTTGCTTTGCCAATTTTTTGAGGAAAATATTTAGCCAACTACTTCTTGAGCTCGGTTCAAACTTAATCTCCTATTAGATTCACTGATGCTTTATTATTTATTATTAAATGGAAAAGTTTTAATTATGTTATACTGTTAATTTTTCAATTAGTCAATTTGTTCTGAATACAATTCTGAAATCCCTTAGCTGATAATTTGAAAATAATAAAAAATACAAATGAGAAAAAATTTATACGTATAGATGCAAGTCCTAAGATAACTAAAATATTCCTAACATTAAAATTAAAATGGGGGGAATCACTCTACCCAACAGTAAGGTTTACTCTGTAGCTACTGTAATCATGACAGTATGGTGGTGGCAAAGGGACATACACATATAACAATGGGACCAGAAGCCATCATTCTCAGCAAACTGACACAAGAGCAGAAAATCAAACACCACATGTTCTCACTCATAGGTGGGTGTTGAACAATGAGAGAACATGGACACAGGGAGGGGAGCATCACACACTGGGGTCTGTTGGGGGGAAATAGGGGAGGGACAGCGGTGGGGGGTGGGAAGTTGGGGAGAGATAGCATGGGGAGAAATGCCAGATATAGGTGAAGGGGAGGAAGGCAGCAAATCATACTGCCATGTGTGTACCTATGCAACAATCTTGCATGTTCTTCACATGTACCCCAAAATCTAAAATGCAACAACAAAAAAGAAAATTCACATACATACAAATATGCCTGTTTTCTCACAAAATACAAAAGTAATTCCATGGAGGAAGAACAGCCTTTTCAACAAATAGTATTAAAGCTATTGGGCATCCATAGACCCAAACAGACAAAAAAAAAAAAATCCCCCAAAACCCTCAACCTAAACTTCAAACTTTATAAAATTAACTCAAAATTGATAGTAGACTGAAATGTAAAATTCAAATATTTTCAGTAAAAATAAAAGTAGAAAATCTTTGGGTCTCAGGCTAGGAAATGACACCAAAAGCATGATTCATGAAATAAATTATTTTCCAAATTGAACCTCATCAAAAGTAAAACCTTTTCATGGTGAAAAGACAAGCTACAGAGTAGAAGCATATATTTGCTGACTGCATATCTGACAAAGAAACAGTATCTAAAATATAGAAAGAACTTTCAAAACTCAAAAGTAGTATGCAATCCATTTAGAAATGATAAAAACAGATATTTTACTGAAGGGGATCTATACATAGCAAATAAACACATAAAAAGCTATGCAACATCATTAGGCATTAAGAAAATGCAAAACAAAACCACAATGAGGTATGACGCCACACCTATCAGAATGGTAAAATGAAAAATAATGGCAACACCAAATGTCAGGAAAGATGCAGGATTACTCTCAGGTCACTGGCAGAAATATAAAATGGCATAGATGCTCTGAAAAGCAGTTCGATACTTTATTGCAATACCCAACATGAACTTGCCATATGACCCAGTGATTGCACTCTTGGGTGTTTATCACATGTAAGTGAAAACTGATGTTCATACAAAAACCTGCACACAAATGTTCATGGCAGCTTTATTCATAATTGCCAAGAACTGGAAACAACCCAGATGTCCTCCAATGGGGGAATGGTTAGACAAACTGTGGTATAAATGCTATTACTCAATAATCAAAGCAGCAAACTACTAATATACACAAAAACGTGCATAAATCTCTAAGGAATTACGTTGAGTGAAAAAGCCAAAGCCAAAAGGCATACTTCCATTTATACCAAATACTGAAATGACAAAATTTCAGAGATGGCATACAATTAATGGTTGCCAGTGTTGAGGACAGAGTGGCAGGGGAAGAAATGTGAAAGAAGTTGGGTGGTTATAAGAGGACAACACAAAGTATCCTTGTGGTGATGGATCTGTTCAGTATCCTTACTCTGTACAGATATACAAGTTTACGCATGATAAAATATTATAGAACCAAATGCACACGTATATATGGACATACACACAGAAAGATGAGTACTAGAGGGGAAATGTGAATAAAATCAGTCAACTGTATCACTGTCAATACCCTAGTTTTAATATAATATTAGACTTTTGCAAAATGCTACCATTAGGAAAACCGGGTAAAGGATCCTAGGAGACCTCTCTGCATTACTTCTTACAACTACATATGAATCTATAATTATCTCAATAAAAATGTCAATTAATAAAGCTATTAGACAATATCATACTGAATCTTGAATCTTAGTTGAAGAATTTAAACTCTTTTCAATGGCCAGTAGGAGCCATAGAGGCTGGTTGAGTATGGATGACTTGATTAAGAGACGTGGATCAAAGGAACCAATATGATGACAGTGAGTGTGATTAATTAAAGGAGACATTACTAAAGGCGGTGACTCAAAAAAAAATAAAACAAAATCAGAGATCAACTTAGAGGCAATACTGAAGCCAATATTGTACCCAATGAAGTGTACAACAGATCCATGCCACTTCAGCAACCCCACATCCACACCAAATTCACTTTGTCCAAGTTCTTTTTTGTAATTTACACTGTATTGGGAATCTGATTATAAAATACAGTTACTTCCAAGAGTTATTTCACTATATTGAGCTCACTCTTTTATGTCATAATCTTAATATTTTGTAAAAATAAAGACATTTTTAGTCTTTGGTTTCAATAATTTTATAATCATATAAATGTGCATGAAATACATTTTCTAGTTATTGTGGTAATTGGCATTTTTGAAAAAATCATTTTAAGGTGTTTGAAGATTGAAAAATCATATATTAGACTTCTGGTTTAAGTTAATTTTAACTAAATATTTAAAAATTTTTGATTAAATAAGTTTGTAATCAATGTTTAAATGTCTGAGGAAATGTAATTTGCTAACTGATTTCTTAGCTTTGTAGCCAGCATTAAATTTTCAGGAAATATTATTTAATGAAATTATACATTTATGTAATTGTGCCTGAGATAAAATACAACAGGAGTAAAGCTCTTCTCCATGAACTAAAGATTCCAGGAGACCATCAGGTTGCAAATGCAGGCTCTCTCCATCATACCAGGCTGCCCTGGACTGGTTTACATCCTCTTTAAAACCTCTCCGAGCTGTTGGCTCCAGATCAGGGAGGAATAGGCTTACCTTATGGGGTTGTCCATCCTGGACACTGTGAGGAAGGCAGCAAGGTTGGCCGTGTAGGAGGAGCACACGATGAGCGTGAAGAGCCACCAGCTGCCCATCACAATGCGCATGGCCACGGAGTTCACAGAAGATTCGCCACCTGCAGGAGGCAGACAAAATGAATTGGCCGGTGGCTTCTGCTCTCCCTCCCATGCCCTGCAGCCAGGCACAGAGGCCACAGCTGGTAATGGGCTGGGAACCAGGGAAGTGACCGCCAGCTGGGTCTGTGCCAATTCTGGGATAGGATTCTAAAACCATGGGTCTTGCACAGGGGCAGAGGACCACAAAATATGGAAAAGTTAGGATTGGGCTTCTAGTGGTATGAAGTTTGTCAAAACACTAAGGGTGGGGGTCTGAATATAAAAATCTTTCAGTTAGGAGATTCCACCTCACAGTGGCAAGAACTTCTAGGGATGCAGCCTTATGTAAGATCCCTTTCTGATTTCAAATTCATATATAGCAGACTCGGGAATTCCGCAAATATAGAAATACTTCCACATGAAGGGTTCCCTGGCTTTCTTTTAAACCTGAGAAATGAGATATTCCATATCACTTTTATTAATATTCAGCCCTCAGTAGATGGCTTTTTTCCCCTAGAATATTCAGAAATCATGGCATGAAACTTTTCACTAGAAGTTTAGCCTCTTTGAGGCCAATTATTTCTCTTTGGCCTCTAAAGTATCAGGAGAAGAGAGCTTTTCACTGCTTATTCTCCTTACATAACCTCACAAAGCATTTGCCATGGTACAAACAGGATCAAGACTCACATTAGGAATTTTGCAATTTGTTGCTCCAGTGAAAATGGCCCAATCCTGTAACTCACTACTGGATAGAAGTACCATCCAGACCTCTCAGAAGTAGGAGCATTTGTACCTCAAGAATGGCTGGAGTACTGCTTATATGATTGCAACACAATTGAAATTTTTCCCCATTAAGTCATCAAATTTAAGCAAAATTCACAGTTTCATTTGACAACTTCATGTGCATAGCAATCGCTCTAATGTGGGAAGGGAGAAAAGTGCAAAGCAGAACTCCAAAGTTAATTTTGTCTAAAGTGGAGCAGCAGGAATTGAAGTTGAGTTCCTTATTGTTGTTTCATTTAATTTCTCTCTGATATTATTCAGGAAAATTGGGTGCAACATGATATTTGTACTGTCTTAGAGATCAAGTAAAATTGTATTTGAAATGACTTTGGTAAAATGCACCTGAGAACTTGGCCAGTGAATAAGTTCTTCTAAGCCCCCAGAGCTATTCGAGGATCAGGAAAACAGAAAGGTACCTTGCTGTACGAAAGCTCCATAGACAATCCAGATGGCGCTGTGCAGGGTGGCAGAAGCTGATGGCCTGGGCTGGGCAGCACTCTGAGCCCTCACAGCCTGTATCCTGTTCAACACAAATATCAGCACCCCAACCACAGGGATGGCTGCTGCAATGCAGGCCCACACAGCGAAATCGAATGGGGCAAAGAGGGAGAAGATGCTGATTTTCTCCTCGGGCTTCTTAATTAGAATCCCCACTGAATAGTCCATATACCGCTTGCTGAAGTCCACAACGTTCTCCCTCTCTGGGGTGATGGTGATGGCAGAGATGGCCAAGTCTGCTCTCTGAAAGGCAAAGCCATCTCATCAGATGGCAGTCCTCAGCTTACTGCTGGGTTCTGCCCTGGGTCAAGGTTCAGTCCACCCTCTGCTCTTTGTGTTGCCTGGTTCAGAGGAATGGATTTGAGAGCTGACACCCTGAGAGTCTGAATATTGTAAGGAAAATCCAACATTAAATTGTCTGTTACTACTTCCTTCACCTTACAAGTTTATCCTTTCTAAAAACTTTGGGAAACCTCTTCTACAGAAAAGAGTTGAGTAAAGCATCTTCATTTCTCTATGAATTATAGTTTTTCTTCACTTTACTATTGTTCCTCTACCAAACTTTAGCTATCTTCTTTTTCTTTTCCCTGTGTTTCCCTCTACCCACCACCAAGAAGGCCCTTCTATCCTCATTAGGCCTGTCTGCATCCTCCCTACATGTTAAGACCACAGGCACACTCCATTTCTCCATCATACCTCTCCAGACGCTATTATCCCACATTGATCTCTCTCTTTTCTAAAACACTTCAGAAGTTGTGGGATGAGTTCAACAACCATGTTAGACCTTATTAACATATTGGCTACTGAGTGTTTTATATGTAGACTTTATGCCAGAGAGTAAAACACTGAAAGAATAAAGGGTCATCTACTTATTTTTATCTTCTACCACCCTTAATTCATGTCTCTTCCATGATAGGTTGATTTTTCCATGGTAAAGCCATGGTGTGAAGAATCTCTCTGGACATGCCCTACTGTGACCTCAAGATTACCTCCCAAGATGTTTGTCTTCCAAGATGAGCTTCATTTTAAAAACAGAGATCCTATTAAGATGGATCCAGACTGTGAGGATGAAGCTGCCAAGTTTGGGGTGACTATGAGCTTCATGTCTCGATGGGTGGATGCCAGTTGACAATGGGGCCTAGAGTCCTCCTTTAGTCATAAGAGCACTGAAAGGCAGTCGTTGTGATCTTGGCTCTTGGACCTCCAAGTGAGAGACCTCCAAACTAGACAGCAGAACTAGTTTCTTTTAGAATGACCAATAGTGACAACTGATCCAACCTCCATGCTCAAATTGGGGAAATACACACAGAAAAAGTTTTCTAAAGTTTAATATAAGGGCTATGGACAGATATACTGATGTCCTGAATTGAAATCTAATACTATACCTTGAGTAAAGACAGAAAATGTAGAGGTGACCTTATCAACACTTTCCTCTTACACTTGTTCCACTGCATCTCTGGTTCTTGCCTCTCTTCTAAAAACCTGACATCTAGGGACAATTTTTAGGATCAGGAAAGTTTGGAGCATATTTAAGGGCTTAAAAAGAGATTTAGTGGAGCAGGATAGGCTTACAACACAGAATGAAGAGAAACTAATTTATGAAGCAAGTTTCAAAGGAGACACAAAGGAATCAACTCACGACATAGGTGGAGGGGTTGACCTATGACAGTGGCAGAGACTGACAGGGGACAGGGGACACTCCCCTCTGTGGGAGATGGCAGGTGCCTGCAGATGTAAATTTCATAGGAATTAGAAGTACAATTTTATGTCCCAAAGTCTCAGTTTATTTCCCCCATATACAAGGGCAATCATTTTTTAGTTGAGAAGGATTCTTAGGTAGCTCAAGAAGAAAGGTAGACTTTTCAAACAGTCTCTGAGAGACATAGCCAATGATCCCAACAAAAGACTTTTAAAAGATTCTGGCAGTACTGAAAGGCCCAGCTGATTCTGGAGACCACACAGTGTTTCCACAGCAATCTGGACAGATTTGCAATTTTCTTCTCTAATTGAGTTCAGTAACCTGGATTTAAGAGGATAGATAATAGAATCCATTCAGGCTTAGGGTGCAACAAAAAATCAGGAACAGAAGGAGTCACAGGGATGAAGGGAGCAGGGGTTTGTCTGGACACCCAAGGAGAATGCAGTATCAGAAAGGCACAGAAGCTGCAGAGAAGGATGGACCTCAAATACACACACTACGTGGAAAGAATCAGACACAAAAGACCGCATCTTGTAGGACTCCATTTATACAAAATGTTCACTGAAGCAACTCTATAAGACAGAAAGTAGATTAATGGTTGCCTAGGGCTGGCGGTGAGAATGGCGTTAACTATAAGGGGGTATGAAAGATCTCAATGAGGTGATGGAAGTATTCTAAAACTAGATGATAATGAAGGTTGTATAACTGGTACCTTTGCTAAAAATCATTGAATTGTATATCTAAAATGGGTAAATTTTATAGTATGTGAATTTTACCATAATAAAGCTTTTAAAAAATAAGATTAATAGAAATTGGAGGAATGACAAGCCTAGTGTTTGCCTTTACAGACTGAAAAAGCAAAGGGCCTGTGTTGTAAGAGTAAAGGTTCAAAAATGTCAGAAGGACATGTTGTGGTCATGCAGTGGGCTAGTGATCGTGACATGTAAGATGTTAGCAAGATGCATGGGGGTGAGCACTGGAGTGGAGCCCAGCAAAGGTCCCTGGAGGTGAGGAGGCGAAAGCACTGGCAGTTCAGGGTTGTCCACAGGGATGTCAGAAATTGTCGGAACGGTGGCAGCAGTAATAATGGAGACAAAGGACTTGAGTCAGATGCCACCACGATAAATGATCATGAGGAAATGACCCAGTGGTCATGAAATGACAAGAATGGGGACATGGTAAGTTGGCCTCATGCCATGAGTTTCAATCAGGATGCAGTTTCTATGGGAGGAAAGAAGAGTGCAATTTAAATGAGTATGAGGACTTGGGAGGTGCCACACCACCAATATGTAGCAATGTAGATATATACACATGTGTATGTATATCCTACCTGTGGTCTATGAGGGATAGGAGAATAAGCATTCACCAGCACCTCTGATGGCAACTAGGTGTTTGCTTCACCCCAAATGTGGGCTACATTCCTTGAAGGGTGTGCTACAGAGTAGGAACAGTGGATAGACTTCAAAGGAATGACAGCAATGTGTAGGGAGGTAACATAGAGTGTCAGAGATGAAGAGATACAAGAACAGAAATGGATGTAGCAGGGGTTTGAGGACAAAAGAGCCTTTGTGTGTGGAGAATGGTAACTGTGGTCTGTTTAGCTGTCCCAAGGTTTCCACTGTGCAATTGGTCAAGTTTAGATATTGCCCCAGAGGAAGACCAGGGTGCCCCTCCCCTGGATCTGCTGTGGGGACCTACCTTGCTGATGAGCTCCCCGATCATCCCGTTCCAGGAGGTGTTATGGAGCTGGTGACCGTACCTGCCATCAGGGGCTTGGTAAATCTCATATTTGAAGCCCAGAGCCTTGGCCAGTGCATCCAGGACATCTATGGAGAACCCTTTGTAGCGCTTGGGCTGTCCTAAGATGTTCTCAGCCACCATCACGAAAGGCTCTTCCTGAGGACAACAGAATGAAGGTTCTCTAATTAAATAACAGATTCATCAACACTATTTCCAGGGCAATGTTAGAGAGAAAGATCGGATTTGACCATTTGCAGTTACCCAATTTAGGACTGGAGGCTCAACTTCTCTGCCCTTTTCTATAGCAGTTTATGGAGACCCAAGGGACAGTGCACAGGATGATCACTCCAATCAGTAAGTCCATACAGAGGAGTGGAGATTCATTTGTCCTGTGATATGTTATCCCAGGCTCTGCCCCAACCCCCAGCTCCCTGAACATGGTTTCTCTTCCTTCCTCCATTTGTAACATCCATGCAGAATTAGAATCATGTCTTTAGAATATGCCAAAACTGTATGAGGCCCACATAAGACACATGAAACTTTTCATCCAGGATAATAAGTGTCGATAAAGTTCTGTGATACTAGATTGAGAGAAAAAGCATTATATCTACTGGGCTATACTAGAAAGTGGATATGGGTTAATTAGCCAAGACCAGACCAGAAGTCAAAGGGTAGGATAGAATTCAGACCCAGAGTTCCGAGTTCAAAGCCATGCCATGCTCACATGTTGTGCTATGCCACATGTGAGCGAGGTGATATTCTAGAAAACACCTCAGCACTCCCCACCATTCCCCTTCCTTCTTGTGTGAAACTGAACAAGGAGCCTTTGGCAAACAGCTCCAGGGAGTACAGCTCATTAATTTAGTTGTGTTGGGAAATAGGGTGTAAAGCTTATTTGTGGTGTGTATACAGGGAATGCAGAAATACTGCTGCCGAAGGTTTCTACGCCAAGGGAATGTTAGTGTCTGTAGGGAAAGAGGGGACATTTGGGCATGTGTGACCCAGCCAATAAGAGGCAAATGTATAATGTCTCCTGCAGTTTTTATTAAAATGTGAAAAAGCCAACTGAAAGGAAGATGGTATTAAAGTCTCTTACAAATGCAAAAGTCTGTGATTCCAGGACACCCATGGAGAAAAGTTGTAACTACCAAATGCTCTTCATTCTGAATTTGTGTCACCTGAGCCCATCAGTGGTGTTGGGTGCTAGGAGAATGTCCTCCTCCAGCATCTTTCTGGGGCTCTGGCTACAATATAAGCTCTCCTAAGGACCAGTAGTGGGTCAAGATCCAGTTTACATCCAAGAACAAATGGAGCAGCTGGGCCCCTTCCGGCCTCAGAGGAGGCTGTGGATGAGAAGTCCTTTTCTAGAGCAGCTCAGGGACTTCCTATGGAAAGCCCAGAGGCCCTGGGACAGAAACTTCAATCTCATTCTTCCTTTCATTGTTCACACAATTATTTGAATAAAAGGCCTTATGAAAGCTCACAAAACTCCTAAAGACTCTCTTCTCCCTAAACCCAGCATTAAACAAAAAGCAGCCTCTGATTCAAGAGCCTGGATGGTGCAGCTCCCAGAATGTCCCCATGATCCTACCAGGACAGTCACCACTTTGAGAGTCAATCCTTGGAGGCGGCTGCCCATAGGCCTCTCTTGCAAGCTGCCATTCAAGCCTTTCTCTGAGTCCCACGTCGCCAGCTGTGGAGGAAAAATAATGATTGTAAGGGATGGAACTGGCACCTGTGCATGCCTTAGGAACTCATCACCTGTACTGAGATCCTGAATTAGGCAGGTAGGTGAATAATAGTCCTAGGGTTCCCAGAGACCCACCCATAGCCAGTTTAAAACCCTAAAGAGAATAGATATGTGGTAGACAGAGTTACACATCCTCCCTCAGCTCACCTGGATCTCTAGAGCTCAGCACAGCCCTAAAATGAAACCAGCTGGTGAGAACTTGTCTCTAGAAAAAAATATTAATGTTCCGTTTTATTCTGTTCACCCATGGAGGCCATGTCACTGTGATGCCTGCAAAGTACCCTTTCATTAATTACTCCTTTGACTTGTCCAGGCCACAAGGCCCTTGAGTTCCGCCATTGCTCCCTCCATGGGTAGGATGAGGCTCAGCACTAAAGCAAGTAGCAAACACCCAAGTGCATAGCTTGTCTTGCACCCCAGTGCCTATTGCAAGCAGGGTCAAGGGCTCCCTGCTGTTTTCACTGTGGTGCCAGCCCCATCATTTTCCTTGATAGGCAGGTAGAGGCTAATGGCAGAGTAAATGTGCTCTAAATCTGCTACATTCTCCTAAGTCTGCAGGGTATATCCAATAGCTAGATGCATCTCTGACAGTCACCCTAAAGTGATCAAGGAGACCCCCACCTTGGCTCAGAAACAATGAGGAGACACAGTTGTTCATGAGACTGCTTTCCCTCCCTGTATCGTTGCAGGGTCTGTACAATGACAAAACTTTTGTCTGGGAAATGATTCTCACCTATTAATGGGGAAGACATGACAAAATGCAGATATGCAGCCCCATCTCAAGTCAACTAAATCAGGACCTCAGGGCCTGAGCACAGAAAGTGTTAACACTTCCCAAGTGCTCCTGATATTACAGCCTAAGTTGAGAATCCCTGCTCCTCTAGGTCACTGGGCCTCTAACTTGGCTGCATATTGGTATCTCTTAAGGGGGCTTTATAAGAATACGTACTGAAAGTTGGGCCCTACCCCCAGAGACTCTTATTTAATTGGTGTGTAGTGAACTAGAGATGGATATTTTAGCTCCTCAGGTGATTCTAATACACAGCCAGAATAGTGAACCACTGCTGTAGATTAAAGCCATGACACTCAAACTACGATAACCACACAAATCACCAAGGGATTCTGTATGCACTTCCTGATTCTGGGGCCTAAAATTATTCATGTCTAACAAGCTCCCAGGTGGTGCAGCTGCTACTGGTGATCCATGAACCACCATTAAATAGCAGGGGCTAAAGGGCCAAACTGCCACAGGCAGTATATACTGCTGTCAGGGAAAAATCCATAAGATCCCCTAGTTAACCCGAGGAAAAGAAGAACTCCAGTGGAAAAGTGCTACCGGGGGCCCTAAAGGAACCACCAATTGTTCCTCTTAAGAATGATTCTGCTCCCTCAGCATTTCCCATGGTCCTGTCATCTGCAGCAGGGTCTGGACACTGAACCCTGACTAGAAGGCTGTAGAACCTGAGTGGCCATTCCTCCGGGAAGAGATGACAACTCTGAGGTCTAAAGTAAAACCATCAGTGGAAGAGATGGAGTTCTAGAGTCAGTTTTAAAGGAACCTGAAATCTCCTGTTGTCACTTTGGACATGATGCCCACCAAGACCCACTCCATCTTAAACAATAGGATGCCTTGGAGTGATGAATAAACAAATTAGTGAATAGCATGGCCATGTACCCTGAAGAACCCCCACTCCCACCACCACCACTAATTAATTTGGGGGCATTGAGGTAAAGAACAAGTGAAGATCTACCCAAAATTCTGCTTAAAGACCTCAAAGATACCAAAATACCACACTTTGAGAAACGGTAGTTTTTTTTTTTTTTTTAAAAAAAAAGCAAAAGTTGTGGCTATTTCTCCATTGGGTCTTAAGAAATAGGCTGGAAGCTGTGGCTTATGCCTATAATCCCAGCACTTTGGGAGGCCAAAGTGGGTGGGTCACTTGAGTCCACGAGTTCAAAACCAGCCTGGCAATATAGTGAAATGTTGCCTCTATAAAAAATAAAAATAAATTAGCTAGGTGTGGTGGCATATACCTGTAATCCCAGCTAGTTGGGAGGCTGAGATGGGAGGATCGATTGAGACTAGGAGGTCAAGACTGCAGTGAGCTGTGATTGTGCCACTGCATTCCAGCCTGGGCAACAGAGTGAGACCCTACCCCCCCTCAAAAAAAAAAAAAAGAGAGAGAAAGGAAGAAAGAAGGAAGAAAGAAAGAAGGAAGGAAGGAAGGAAGGGAAGGAAGGAAGGAAGGAAAGAAAAGAGGGAGAGAGGGAGGGAGGGAGAGAGGGAGGGTAAAAAGCAAAAGAAAAGAAAGAAATTGCGTTATCATGCAGAATCAGTTCCTACAGCTGTATTAAAATGCTTGCAGGAGGGAAAAGGACAAATTCAGACAAACGGGGCCAAGTGATTCGTTGCCTGCATTATTTGGATGTTCTATCATGAACTCACTGGGGCAGGAATGGGTGTTTATTTGGAATGCCTGCATCTGCACTCCCATAACTGCTTAGCCCAGGCACTGGAGCTGCTTAGCTCTGATGTGTGTGCTGGTACTTCTCCTGGGTGAAGGTGGAGTTACAGAGGTCTTCTTGACCATCCCAGTGGTTCATAGAGTCATAACAGAAGTCATCTTGTCCTAGTGATGATGCAATCATTCCAATTCTGTCCTGCACCAGGACCCAGATTCCTAACATCTGCTGCCAAACCTTCCTGGCATGGTGAAGGGGCATGTTCATTCTCTACTGTCCTGGCTTGGATAAGCGTTTGAAATGGGGCTCTGTGCATCTTAATCAACCAGGCTTTACCTGTTTTTCTACTGGAATTACCAGAAATTAGAATGGAGGATGGAGGCAGGAAGAAACAGTTGGGATGAAGCCCTGAACATCATTCTCTGCTTTTGGCCCACTGCTTTGCTCCAGGAAGCACCACCTTAGTCCCCCTATACCTTTGCAACAGCTTTTTCATTGGTTTCATAACTCCCAACCTGTATTTCTTGTAGTTCATCCTTCAATATGCAAGTAGGTACACTTACAGCAAATAAATTCAAATATGAACTGTATTAATTAAAATATTCTAAGGAATTCCTTTTTCCTACAGAATAAATACTAAGACTTTTAGGCTTGGCCTAAAAGAAAAGCCTTCCTCATCCAGAGCCAATCCTGACTCTCAATCTCACTTTAGTTTGTGTAGTAACAGTATACTACAATCTCTCAAATCCCTCCTCCTTTCTCAGGCACATCATGCCTCCTGATCTTCGTATCTGGTTTTTTTCTGCCTGGAATGCCCTTTTTCTTTTTCTGGGTCTGGTAAACTCTTGTTTGTTGCAATAAGACTTCATTTTAGAATAGTTTTAGATTTACAGATAAGTTGTAGACATTGTGCAGAGAATGTCAATAGATCCCATACTCAGTTTTTCCCATTGCTAAAATCTAAGTCGAATTATAAGTAATCATTATTACCTTCCTTATCCTCTTCCTGATTTTTAACAGGATTTTCACTACGCTAATAGAAATAAAATAAGCTTTTGATGAAAATAACTAGCATAGAGAAAACTGAATGATGGGAGAGCAATTGGAGTCAAATTATCTGTCAGTATGTCAAGGCCAATCTAAGAGTCAGAACCCAATAAATCAGTGCTTTGACTCTGAGGAATTTTGGTCTAGGGGTGCCTCTTTTCCTAGAAGGGACACATGGCCAGTTGAACCAGCACAGCGTCTCATATTCTATGACCTCTCCAAGATGGTGGGAGCTCTGTAAACTGTTGGGCTGGGAGATAGCAAGTGGCCGCAGCTGAGGCCCAGATCCAAGAAGATAAGCAATCCAAGTGATATTTCTCCACTGAGAAAGAGGAGCAGCTCCAAATAACCGTAGTTAATAGTTCAGACAACCTTAATACAAGAAGGCCATGCAAATTAAAATGGAATTTCATGAAGGAAAAAAATCCTTCCAAGGCCATTATCATGCTTATCTCTTCATCTAAAAGTGGTTAGAACTTAAAAGTGTTTTTGTTTTGTTTTGCTTTAGTGCAGACTTCTCTCTCCCTGGGCTCTAGGCATCCTGTACCCTGGCAGAGCAAGGAAAAAATACTTCAAAGCAAAAAAATCAAAATTCTGCCTTTCAAACACATCAAAGGGCAATCATGTTCCAGGATTCAGGATCCTTTATATTGGGTAGGAAACTTTATTATTCCCTCACATCAGACAGAAGCCAAGTGCTCCAGGCTGAGTGAATCTCCCCATTTCCACAGAACCCTGTGCTCTTGCCCAAATCTGAAGATGAGAGTGGTAAACCTCTGCCATTTCTGGGCGAGACCATCCGTCTGAGATCCAAAATATAAGGCCAGAACATAGAAAAGCACAGTTCACATGAAATAATCCAGAGGAATTTTTTTTTAAGTAAATGAAGGCTTCCAATGGATCACCAGCCTTGTAGTCAACCAAGATTAGGAGAGACTTTCATCCCATCCCCATCCCGAAGGTGCTGGGCGCTCCCCACTCCGAATGCTCAGGAAAATGTTTCAGTCAATAAAAGCCAAATGCAGCCAATGGGCTTGATAAATGGAAAGCCAGAAAAACCTTTTACCCAAAGAAGTCCCGACACTTAGTCATACAGCTCCAGACCATTTCATTTGTACATGAGTGAGTCTACTCTGACTTCCCCTTGTATTTTGCAGACAGAATTTTGTTTACAGGATCAATGAATTTATGGCCACAGACACCCACTTTTGACAGCTGACCTGTCAAGATCAGTGCCTGAAAAACTAATTTCCAGCACTATTAAACAAAACAAGTACTGCTGCTATTTGATAAGACAGCTACGGTTTTCATTCATTGCAGAAATTTGCTCTACCCAAACCAGAAATGTGGATGGAGCCAGAGGTTACAGCACAATCATCACTTGAAAGGAGATATATGGTCTCAAGATCTGATTATGACAAACAACTGTGCAA